CAGAATGGGTCCATGCGAATACATCTCTGTGCTCGGTCAGGAGAGCAGTAAGGTCGGCCTTGACTTGGGAAGGTAATTGGCTGCCAATCTTGGTGGTTTTGATTAGGTTGGTGGGATCGATGTTAACTTCAACAAGTTCCTCTACAGGTTCACCTTTGACGAGCTCGTCCTCGTCTCGAACGTCAAGCCCTTCAATGATCATGGCCTCTTTTAGCTTGACTTCTTTGAGTGAGGCGACATAACACTCCCTGGCCACGGTCTGTTCTCCTTTGACAGTTCCGACACCGAGATCGGTAGGAAATTTGATGGCAAGATGATATGTAGATGTGATGGCTTGGAAGGCGTTGAGGGCTGTGCGGCCAAGGATAATGTTGTAGGCAGAGGGGCAGTCGACCACAAGAAAGGTGAGCAACTTAGTGGTCTGTCGCGGGTGCTCGCCAATGGTGATGGGCAGATCGATGGAGCCGATGGAGGTCACACGGTCGCCGGTGAAGCCGACCAGAGGGGTTTAGAGAGGAGACAAGATTTCTTCCCCAATCTTGAGCTGGCGGAAGCAATTGAGGAAGATAATGTCTGAAGAGCTGCCGTTGTCTACGAGGACTCGTCTGACTTTGTAGTTGGAGAGGATGGCGGAAATGACAAGGGGGTCATCATGTGGGTAATGGACTCCCGCACAGTCAATGTCGGTGAAGGTGATAGGCTCGATCCATTGTTTGGACTGTTTGGGAGGTCGGTCCACCGTCACCACTGCTTTGTCTGAGCCCTGCCTAATTTTTCTGAGTTCTGCCTTCTGAGTCGAGCGGGATGGTCCCCCGCAAGCAAGACCGCCTGAAATAACTCGGATTTCTCCAACTGGTGGAGGGGGATTACCAGGAGGCCGAGGCTGTGGTGGTGGGCGATCGTGGCCTTGGTTAGGTGGGCCTTGATTGTAGGGTGGCGTTTGTCGGCGATTGTTCCTGGTGAGGTCAGTTCTTTGCCTCTGTGGAGGGCGGTTATCTGTGAATCGGCTGAGACGGCCCTGGCGTATGAAGGTCTCGATTTGATCTTTGAGGTTAATACACTCGTCGGTGGTATGACCATGGTCTTGGTGGAAACGGCAGTATTTGGACTGATCTTTGCGAGTGGAAGGGTTTCGTGAAGGTAGGGGCCACTTGAGGGGGTAGTCCCGTTGGATCTGATTGAGGACGTGCTCCATAGGGGAGTTGAGAGGTGTGTATCGCTCAAACCGACCGGGCGGCCGGGTCGGAGCGGACCGGTTGGTTCGGAGGGGTCGGTCATTATAGTGGGGTGTTTGGCTATTATACTGGGGGGCCCTTGGTTTTGGGTCTTTCCACTTGTCTCTGGGGGTTGGATTTTTAGGGGTCGGCTCTTGCCGAGCGGCTAGGGAGTCTTCAGCATTCATGTATCTCTGGGTTTTGGATAGTAGGGCTGCGATGGTGGTTGGAGGGTTTTTGGAGAGGGAAAAAAGAAAATCGGACGACCGCAGGCCGGCCATGAAAACTGTGAGAATGACCTTGTCGTCATTCTCAGCTACTTGAAGGGCTTCGGTGTTGAAGCGGGTGACGAAGCTGCGGAGCGACTCCCCCTCAGTCTGACGAATGTTAAGGAGTTGGGTGGCTGGGCGTCTCTGATGTTGGGCTCCGATAAAATGGCTCAGGAAAGAGTCACTGAGGTGTTGAAAGGTGGAGACGGAGTCCGCCGGTAACTGGCTAAACCACAACCGAGCTGATCCCTTCAGTGTCACTGGAAAAGCTCGGCACATGATCTCGTCAGGAAAAACGTGGAGGATCATGAGGGTGCGGTAGGTTTCCAGATGGTCGACTGGGTCCGTCGTGCCATCAAAGGAGTCAATGGTGGGCATTTTGAACTTGGCAGGCAATGGTTTGTCGCGGATGGAGGCAACAAAAGGAGAGTTGGCGGTGACTGAGGGCTTGTGCTGAATGTTCTGCATGACCCCTTGTAGTTGGAGCTTCATAGCTCGGAGTTCAACGTCCCAGAGGGGAATGTTGTCGCCATGGTCGGTCAGTGGAGGCTGGACACTGCTGGCTTCTCCCTCAGGGGCGAGTGCCACGACTGACGGTCGTGGAGGTGGAGATGGAGGTGGAGGTGGTAGGCTCATATGTGGAGGAGGAGGGGGTTGTAAACCTTCTGGGTTGGGCGAAGGGGGTGGTGGAGCAGTGTGGCCCGGGGTTCTTTCTTGGTTGGGTGGAATGTCTGGGGGTGGGGCGGTTAGGTTTCTTTGGAGTAAGGCGTTGATCAGGGCCTGGTTTTGCTCGGCCATGCGGTTAATGCTGTTAGTAAGTTCGATGATGTATTGTGGTAGGTTGTTTGGATAGGAAGGGTCTGTTTGGTGATCGGTGGTATTATGGTGAGAAGCCATGGATCTAGTCGTGATAAAAGGGAAGTCCAATTCATTAGGGTTTTGCATGTCATCCCTTTCTCTACACGACTCACTGGTGGTGCATGTGATAGCCATGAGAGTCTCTTAAACTTTGGGGCCAAGTGTTTGCCCTTTTTTGCTTCTAATTCTCTTCTTATCCAAAAAATAGTCACTTTATGTTAATTTGCTTTTCAACAACAGTCAAAAGTAAAAGCATGTTCTATTCTCCCTTTTGTGTAGCCACAGCAACCTTTAATTGAAAGGTTACTTGGTAATTTTTGTTACAAAAGACACTATTAGCTTAGTACTAAGTAATTTGGATTCAGCATTTTAGATTGTGTTGTTTTAGTCTACACATATTAGGCCTGGACTTGCCACAAGCTTATTGTACTTTGGTTGATATAGACTTCTCAAGAAAATGCAAGGGCATAAAGATGGGGAGTTTAAGAAGAAGAAAAAAAGTTACATCAATTCAACAAATTTACATGTATTATGAAACTATGTATAAACTAATTACTTGCGATGAGCTCAATTGCAACTTGTTTGAGATCAAGTGGCATGAAAGATAAATAAATCAAATTTGAACAGCCATCACTTAACTCGACTCAACTTGTTTACAATCTAACCAAATAGTTTAATGTGGAGATCTAACAAAATATTCGGTCAAGTTAGAAGGATTATTCCCTTACTCAATTGTGGTGACATCCCCAATAGAAATGTACGGAATTGGCCAACTGAGTTTACTCAATTGATTAATCATTAATTTAGTTTAACTTATACAAATCTCTTCACTATCCAATGCCGGTACATATTATAGAAAACATTTAAACCCAATACCTACTATGTTCATAATTGTTGCCCAAGAGCCTTGTTGAGTTCATCTGGTCCACCTCAAAAGACAGGTGAAACCTTTTTTTTTTTTTTTCAAAAGTTCTGCATACAAGAAAAGAAGAGTATTATGGCTAAAAAATGTGAAATTATGGTGTGTACAATGCGAATACATAGTACCCAAACCAAAGCAAGAAAAAATAATTACTAGGGTGATGATAGTGCTTTCTTTGTTTTGTGTAACTCAGACAACATTGAGATTTTGATATTATAGCATGGCTATAGTATTGTTGCTTTCTTTCCAAGTATGGGACCATTGGGACCATTTCTAACTTCATGCAGCATAATAATAATAATGATCACGGACTCTGTTCACATTCCTTAATCGTATCAAGACACGTGAAAATAAAGTAATGGTATACAAATAACTTCTTCGTATTAATAAATGCTTTTATTATTATTATTATTTTGGACAAAAGGGTATGACAATGAGCAATGGTATACGTTACAGAGAATTTATAAGAAATTTTTGTTTCTATAATATTGTTTTCCTAAAAAAAAATAATCATTTTGAGAATAGACTGCGCCGAAAGAATTTGTAATAGAAAGATAAGAAAATGAGGTCTTAAGGATTTCATCCAAACTTTGTGAATTAAGATCATCTGTTCCTTTTTTTGCCCATTTCTCTATCCTTTTACATTTTACTAGTTCTTGAAATTTAGGAAAAGTGATCCTGTGAACCAATCAAATTCAAAGACAGAGAAGTGCGCATGGAAATAGATAGATGATCTAAATTTAAAATTTATGAGGAAAATGTATGTCAAAAAAAGAATTAATAATGTAACTATTGTATCTGACTCAACCCACTAACACACATCTCCATAGCAAGCATGGTATATTATGTTTACATGATAGCCTATAATTAAATAGTAATATTACATTTCTGATGAAATAATACGTGTAATGATGTGATATCACTATTGTAATAATTTTTTTTCCCTCAAACATGTAGGCGTTTGGTAGTCAGCAAGAAATGTTGTGAAGCCAAATTCGATTTTTTTGAAAGAATTGGACTTCTGTAAAGTTTGAATTTGAACTTGTTCGGACTCATAGAGCCTATTACGGATTTCATTTCGATAATTTAAACCATTCATTTTGTAAAATCCTGTATATGTATCATCCATAAAAAAAAAATCGATCTAATAATTATAATTTTTTATTTTATCGCATTTCATTTTTTTTTCTTCCTTTTTTTGGATTGGAGAATACATAAAAATAAAAAAATAAAAACCAAACAAAACAAAAAAAAAATCTTGATAGACTTGTGTAATTGAACTCTTGTCCACTTCAAGTTAGTGGGCTGGGTTAATATATCAGTCTTTAATGTTAGCAGAGTTCTCATATTTCAAATACTCCCTCCTAAGCAGGGGAGGTGGAGAAGGGGATGAGTAAAGGTGGGGGGCTGCCGGATATGGAGGTTGCCAGAGGAGGAATGGGGGGCTGCCAGTGCTTCTGTCTCCTCTCTATTTTTTTGTTTTTTTGGCACCAAAAACGAGTCATTTTAGTGCACTACAAACCTTGCACCACAGGATCTGAACTCCAATGTAAAGGAGCCAAGTTGCCTCAAACAAAAGAATTAAAACCCTAGTATTCCAACTTCCAGCATCAACTTTAGCTGTGCCTTTGTTTGGTACCCAACATTTACCACTGTAGTCCATGAATGTTGACATGCCTTATTTAGTGTTCATTTGGTGCAACTTCTAACAAGATGAAAGCTAATAATCAAAAAACATAAGCAAAAATCATATCCCTGCTTCTCAATATCTCTAGAGCCATTCAATTGCTCAATGACAATGAATTTTGAATTTTGGTGATGAGAACATTAACATGTAAAAATTATGATCATGAGCCCATTGTAGGGCAGCCATTATAGGCTACTAAAAACAATCAGCATAGATAAGTAGCTTTAAAAGCAACTCAGTTTCTGTTCACACAGGCAACAACAGCTTCATCATGCACACTACTGTAAAATGAGCTTAACTTTGTTATAGCAAGAGCTTCTCCAAATAGTGATGCTCTTGTCGATTTTGATATCCGAACTTCTACATAGTCTCCAACCCTTGGATTCCGATTCCCATCATAAACCTCCCGATCTGGGACTGGCAGATTAGTAAAATACACCCTATGGCCTCTGTCGCTCTTGCCAATGAGCTCTGTCTCAGGAGCTCTCTTATTGGGTCCTTCAACTAACACCAATTGGACAGTACCAATTTGGGAGTCATAGCACTGACCTGTGCTCTCGCGGAAAGCCTCGATGAGTTCCGTCAGCCTCCTCTGCTTGACAGCATCAGGAACATCATCGACATAATTCCTATGGGCATGGGTTTTCTCCCTCATGCTATATGCAAACATGTATGCCATGTCATAACCAACAGTCTTTATAAGGCTTAGTGTGTCTTGGTGTTCCTCCTCTGTTTCACCACAGAAGCCTGGAGAAAGAAAATCACAGGTATTAGGGGCAATGCAGGAATTGCAATTTAAACTTCTTCAAAGTTCAATGACAATAGCTTTCCTCTAATGCACCAAAGAAAGGGTAAGAAGTACTTGCCAAAAAAGAACTTAAGACTTGCTACTTGTCAATTTCTACCAACTCATGCCTATGAATTGTCCAACTTCTTAATTGTCCAATCGATATGCAAATGGTGGATTTATGAATTAAAAGACAATAATTTCATCTCTTCATTAGAGAAAGACTATAGGAGCACCCAACTCTATATAATTGGCTATTTGACACACATTATAAAAAATGGTATCTGCAAGCTATCCACAAAGGAAATAACAATTGGCAACATGATCTGTTAAACCGTTCTACATATATTGAGAATACAAAAAGAATGTATGTACAATAAGGATCTATTCATAATAAATAGCTTTGAAAAGGAGGGGGGGAAATGAAAATGACACAAAAATGTATTTTGTATAATTATTTTTAATAAATGTTTAAAAGTAGGGGGAGAGGGGACTGTGTAAAACAGTACTTTTCAGAAAACTATGCTAAATTGTTTCTTAGTTATCAAATATCCAGCTTCATAAGATGATGAAAATGATTCAACAAACTTTTTGTTATTCTTATCAGAAAGCCCAAAAATGAAAACAGAAAACAAAAACAAAAACAATACCAAACAGGATCTAAAATCTTTCCAAGATGTTTGTAACCATCCAATCAATTCAATTGATGCTGTTAGCAGTAATGTCTACACTGGGCACCATAGAATGGCAACCAGAAGTGTAAGAATTTAAAGAGCACATATCCATCTAAGATGCTCATTTTTTAAAACTAGTGTTATATTCTTCACACTATGGCTCGAGTATCATGGAAAAGCAATATAATTAGCCTCTTACCACATATGAAGTCACTGGTTATCCCAACATCTGGGATAATTCTGCGAATCTTTTGCACAAGATCTAAGTATGCCTCTCGAGTATATCCCCGACGCATTCTTTCAAGTATTCTACTATTCCCTGTTTGTGCGGGCAAATGAATACTTTTACAGATATTATATCTGTCTCGCATTACATACAGTAATTCATCTGGGAAATCTTTAGGGTGTGGAGATGTGTATCTGAACCGCATCTCTGGAAACTCTGTTGCAAGTTGATCTAAGAGATCAGAAAAGCGTAAACCCATTTTTTTCACCTTGCACGTGCTTGAAAAACCTTCGCTGAACTTCCAATCAGCTCCTGATTCAATGTCTTTCTCAGTGCCAGATGCATCATTATAACTATTTACATTCTGGCCAAGAAGTGTTACCTCTTTCACACCTTCTTTCCAAAGCTCTGCCACCTCTTTCACAATTGATTCAACAGGACGCGATCGCTCCCTCCCTCTAGTGAAAGGAACAATACAAAATGAACACATGTTATTACACCCCCTCATCACGGAGACAAATGCAGCAATCGAATTTTTCGAGATGCGCACAGGACTGATATCAGCATAAGTTTCTTCAAGTGAAAGTAGAGTGTTGATCCCCTTTTGACCATAGTCTACCTCTTCTAAAAGTCGTGGCAAGTCTCGGTAAGCATCAGGACCACAGACCACATCAACCATCTTGTCTGAATCTAAGATCTTATCCTTTAATCTCTCAGCCATGCACCCCAACACCACTACTTTTGGAGGATGCAGAGACTGTGACCTCCCAATAGATACATTGCTTTTCCAGTGCCTCTTTAGAAACCAAAAATAATTAAGCCTCTGCCACACCTTTTGTTCTGCATTGTCCCTGATAGCACAAGTATTGATAAAAATTATCTCCGCACTCTCTGGAACCTCCACGATCTCACTATATCCAGCTTTCTTCATAATAGATAAGACAATCTCCATGTCATTGATATTCATTTGGCATCCGTAAGTTTCATGATATATGCGGCCCCCAGGAAGAGTTTCAGAAGCTGGTGTAGGGCTGAAAGAAAAAATAATGCATAAAGTATGAGCCCTAACAATGTGCAAAACTTCTTAACATCATCGCATGCACAGAAGAAAAGTTGCAGGCAAAGTTTCCAAACACTACTTGAAAGAACATAGACTTATATTACATACAATGGGAGCTCTAGGAATTTTTGTCAGGGTAGTCATTTTCGTCAACCAATAAAAGTGAATTACAAATAGTATGAGAATTACATCAAATTGAACACTCAGCTATGAAAGAAAATCCAACACACAGTGACACAGCACAACCACAAATATACAACAAACCTAATAAAAATAAGAAAGGCCTCAAACAAATACGAGGAACATGTAGCCTGTAGGTGGACAAAATCGAACTTCTAACCTCCTAGTGAAATGCATACACTCTTAAACATTTTTAAAAAAATAAAAATAATAAAAAACAGGTTTGGAAATTAGTAAGAAAGCTTTCTTCTTCTTTTTTTAATTTTTTTGAATGGAGTGAACTAGACATAAAAAGGTTGTTCAAAATTCGTCTCATGGTGTTCAATTTTTTTTCTTTTTTCAAAGTGTAGGAACCAAGGTGTGCAAACAAACTTTAGAGCTGAAAAGTGGCGCATCGCATGTTCAAAAAAGTTTTTAAAAGTGAGAAATGTCATCCAAACCATATCTATTACTACTACTATAATTTGTTTAGGGTATTCACTTGATTAGATAATCAAAAGCAGAGATATATCTTATTAAGAATAACAATCTGCAGAATAAGTCAATTAATTCGTAGTACAAAGCTAAGATTTCTTGATTATATTATGGCAATGTTCTTGAGAGGTAGTATAACATGCCTGGTTTGTCTCATCCAATAAAAAATTATTCTTCTATGAGAACTGAGAAAGGCAGTTTGGTTTTCGTTGTCTTTATTACTATTGACAGCAAGTATGATGTTCAATCCTGTGGGTTCAAGGCAAATACATCTGAATGTATCTGTCTTGACAACACACTACGGGACAAACCGAAGGGTTAAAATGAAAGTTTAGTAGAAAAGCCAGCACAATTAATGAAGCTTTAACTAACCCCTAAAATGCCATTTGCTTAGATGCCAGAGATAAGAGGGGAAAGAAATTTTCAAAAGGCCATCATACACACATATTCAGTATTCTACTCTCCAGCACACAAAAGGCTATCATCTCAAAAGTGAGATGATTGGGAATTTTGGATTGACTGATTGACAGAGAGAGAGAGAGAGATAGCATTCATCCCAACGCACAGGGGGAGCAAAGGGGAAAGGAAAAGGCCTTGGTGACCCATCATTTTCCTCCCTTCAACTCCACCACTTCTCTATAATCAAACTCATGAAATTTTCTACAGCTCTCTGCTCTTCAATTTAATTTTTATTCCATTCTACAATTAAGATATCAGGAACCGAATGATCTATCAAACAAAAAAAATATATTAGGAACTGAATGGAGTGTAAAAGATTCATAAATCAGAAGGATATAGGAGTCCACAATTGAATGAAATAAGATTAAACTCCCAAAACTAGTTTCCATGGTACCACGACCCCAACATGCCAATGAGACCACTAGCCACCCATGCCCCGCTAAACAATGACCTAAACCATTACCTCCATCATGTTTCTATGGCTCCCATTTCCTTAGAACCAATAACCCCACAGATAGCAGAGGTTAGGAATAGTTACATATATAGTTTGTTAAATTTCACCTTGAGCAAAGCTAAAATATAGGACCATGCAAACAATAGTCCCAAAGGCTGCCAGTAAGGTGGGGAAAATGTCAAAAAAGTTACAATTTTAATGCACCTTTCACATATTCCTAAATCATTTTACATATTTCTATACATTTTTCACACATAATTATACACTTTTTACATGTACATCAAGGCTAAGTATCACCTATTAGGCAATCATTAACAATTCCATAAATATATGGCTCTTCACTCACTTTCTGTGCTAGTCATTTCCACAACCATTATGTGTAGTGTATTTTTTTCCCCTCAAGTGAGCGTTCCATTATAAAAAAATAAAGAATATACAATGTAACTCAATACAAGCCCTTACGAGCAAACCGCTTGAAAGCTAAGGCCTCTAGCACCATGAGACACCAGATATCATTAATCATATCTTTGTTTGATATTCCAAAAACATAAATTCACCTCCAAATTTTTAACACATAAGTATGTATCAAATTTATTGTACAAACGGTTTTCTTTTTTTTTTTCTTTTTTTGCCAATCAGTATAAGAATAATTGAAAATCACAAACATGAGAAAAAAATACATCAATCTGGACAATTATAGCCCAACAACCACTACGAGAAATAACTCATAATAAGAAGAAATAAACAACTCACGCCCAATAATTACCACAATAAATTGTCAATAAAAGAAAGAAATAAACAACTAAATACAATCCCAATGGGGGAGAAACAATCAATATTTGACAAGGATTGACTGGCTTACCTCCGAATAGGAGTGTACAACAGTGGCCAATCGTGGCATCTTCGGTCCTTACATTTTATCATATCAAATTTAAATTCAAGTAAGAATCATTTTTTCTCTCTCTACTCATTTACTCAAACTCATTCCAAAATGAGTTTTACTCAATTTTATACTCAAATTAGGGGGGAATTTTTTTTCTTTTAATTCAAAAATTAAGCTTACTTCGTGGTGACATGTCAACTTCCAAATTCATCACTCTGTATCCCTCACCAAGTATTTCCTCAAATTTATACTCAAATCTGAGTTTGATTACTAAAGTATTCTATTTTATGTCAAATGAAACTTTTTAACTCAAATCCTTACCCTTTTCTCAGATCAAATTTAAATTTGAGTAAAAATGCTCAGAATCTCTCCCCACTCCTTTACCCAAACTAACTCATACCAAAATGAGTTTGACTCAATTTTGGACCCATATCAATTTTTACCCAAATTTGTAAAGACAATTTGGGTGACACAATAGCTTCTAAATTTACAATTGAGCCACTTAGCAAACTTTTACTCAAATTCAAAAGTTTGGCCACTGGATTATTACTCTATGGCCATGTTTGTTTGGGTGGACATGAGCTTGGAATTGGACTAATAGTCCAATAAAATTATTAATCCGATATTTGGTTAAACAATTGAAGTACGGAATAATTATTTTAAACTTGACTTTTAATTAAGATAGGATAGATAATCCAACGAATTCGTAATCCCAGGATTATTAGTCATGGAATACTAATCCAGTCCGCCCATACAAACATGCCCTATATATATATATATATATCAAATGAAGTTATTTTTAGCCAAATTAGAGTAACAAAAGCATTACAAAAAAAAAATGCGGAATGAAGATTAATTAATAGTAGCATAGGAAGAGAATTTTAATTAGGCAGAGAGAGAGAGTGAGAGAGAGAGAGATTGAGAACTTACTAGTCGGAGAGGGTTTGCGCTTGGGGAATGAAGTGGTGGAGGGTAGGAATTTGAGTCTTGTCGGAGTTGGAGGGAGAGAGGTTGGATTGAGAGAAGCTTCTTCTGGAGAAATTGAGAGAGAAGGTGGTGTTGAGGTTGGGTCGTGATGTGAGGTGGTAGCGAAAGGACGACCTTGATTGGTGCTGGGCTTTTTCAAGGGAGACAAGTCTCGGGAATTTGATGAAAAGCGCTCTGTGAGGTTGGCTGGTGCTGCTGAGTATGGAGGAGGAGAATATAGAAGACAGAGAAGACGCCATGGATGACACTGACTGACTGAAGAAGAGAAGAGAAGGTTATGTTTGTTTGCGTTGTTGTGAGAGGAAGATGATTCATGAGGGCAACGAACCTGAGAAAGCTAGCTGGGCAAGCCTAGGTACAACCCGCACCAAGTCACAATATTCGACCCGATTCAGGATATAAACGAAAAATGAAAAATGAAAAATGGAAAATTGTAGGAGCATATCTTCTCACATGATTGTTTAAAGAAACCTGTTAGCACCTGTCTCTTTACTTTGGACCTTTCATTCTTTTATTCTATTTTTTTTTTCATTTTTGTCCCAAAATGAAGTTACAGTTTTACCCTCATTCCTAACTTCTAATCCTAATTTCTCAAACCCTAACCCTAATCCTCCATCACCTTCGGCTACCACTGTAAGGGTTTCATTTCACCAAAAATTTGCAATTCTCTCTCATTCATCTGCGGAAACTAGGACCTGGTTTGACATACCAAAAAAAATTCAAAAAGTCAAAAAAGTTACTAAAAAAGTTAAAAAGTTATCATTATTCATAAATTAAAAATATAAAAAAATTAATTTACACAATATTTTAATACAAACCAACGGGTTGACAGTGTTGGTACTGAATTGATGTCAAAAAGTACGTATTGGTCTGTCAATGGAACAAAAAAGAAAATTAGATATATATATTCGGGCCCACCACGAGTCCCGTTTTGATAATCTGAACCGTTGAATGTGTAGAACTCGTCGAGTACTATATGATTGTAAAAAATCACATTAATCGGATATGGATAGCTATGTGATCAAAACAAATTTTTTTTCAGCCGTTTATTTTTCACTGTCCATTAATTTTATACAAAACTGTTTTGATCATATAGCTATCGATATCCGATTAAAGTGATTTTTTCGTAGGCATATAGTACTCAACGAGTTCTACACATTTCATGGTTCAGATTATTGGAATGAAACCCGTGGTGAGGCCCCACGGCCCAATAGTACCCACGAAGCCTCATGCACCATTTCAACCAAGCCGTACTATCCTCCTGCCGCTTATCACTGATGAGTCTACAATGTAGGGGTAAAAACGTAATTTTTCCATTTTATACAATATTTTAATATATATTTTTTCGTAAAAAGACAAAAAGTTA